GGCAATAGAGTATGCAGCTTAATTGGCTTTGTACTGCTTATCAGAATCTGCTGCTGTTTTTGTTGAAATCGAGAATGTGTAACAAATTTTGATCATTATGATATATTGTTGCGTTTAAGGGAGGAAGGAAGCAGGCAGGGAGGTGTTTCAAAGTCTCAAAAACTGCTAAAGATTGAACAACCTTTACCTCCAAGGTCTAGCATAAATCGCAAAAAATTGTTGGATTTGGAATAAAAGGTTCAAATCCAGCAAGCTACATGTGTGGTTTTTTAATGCAGCAACAAAAAGTAATGCTGCGATGAGATAGAGGGCTCCCATAGGGAATTCAGATGGTTTTGTACCCCTTACAGTCCCCACACTCAGGCTCTCCAGAATTGAGGCCCAACTTGTGACTATATTGAATGAAACCATTCACAGGTGCTTGGATTTGCTCTGTTCATCCTGTACGGAGTGAGCACCTTCTTTAGCTTCCGCCAATTCCAAGCTGGAGGTGGACTGAGCCAGCTGAGAGGACGCGGAGGGCAGAGTGCCACAGCAACAACCGTCACCACCAGCACCACCCAACAGGGCCCACCACCACCATATCCAGAGGAGAAATAAGCTAGCCTGTCCCCCATACCACTCCATACCCTGTCAGTTGACATGGCCACGTGGCATGCCTCAACCACCTCATGCTCACTGTATCCTGGGCTTGCATCTACAGGTTTTGCTAAACTGTCTGGACCTAGACTAGGTTCAGGTCCTTTGCCTAGGATATCCATGGCCATGCAAATGCAGAGTATTTACTCAAAGTGAGTGCATTAAAATCTGGCCACCTAACTGATATGAGCAGGAAAGTTTTCAAGATCATTACAGAAAAATTGGGCCTGATGTGCAAAATAACTTACTCCTGATAATTTTTTTAGTAAGAGGTAGCACTATGTTTTGCCTTTTTGGGGGGCGGGGGTAAGGGCATTGGGAAACCTTCCTGGATACACTGTGCTTTCGTGCTCTGATTGGTTTATGCTAAAAGTTAAGTTTACTTAGTACATAAGCTTAACCATAGGCTGCTGGGGAACCCGGTTTCTGATACCTTGGGCTCATATGCATAGCCGGGGTGCCCGAAATCGGACAAAAGAGCTGGGCCTTGTAACAAAAGACCGTACTCAGAACAAAAGACCTGCTGCTTGGCATTGCCATCATTTCTCGGCTTGACTTTATCAGAGATAATCCGTCACTCTTTTGGAATAGTATACTACTGTTTTCAGCATAGCGCACCTGCGGATTAGCACTGCAGATGAAAGTGCTCTGGCTCCCCATTGATGAGCAACGCAGCACCGCTACATGCTAATCCAGCCGCGTTTGAAAAGATACCACTGGCATTCACTGGGAACAAAGGAAATTACACAATTCTGGGCTCTCTTTACAGAGTGGCAAGCCTGGCTGAAATACTCGGGCATCAATGGAGGTTGCCTGTGGACTTAAAGTAGCCACCAAACAGTCATTCATGTGGGTGTAAACGTCCATCTAATGAAATGATGAATTTTTTTGAGGAATTTCGAAAATGGAAAATCTTGAAAATCTCCCGTATGTGTGCACTGCATTTTTTAAAGGAACTGGCAGCAAGTGGTAAATGCACTCTTTTTTTATTCTACTGAAAGCATGGAATGTAAATGCTGTCACTCACAAGACAAAGATGTATTTAGTTCCAGGATTGGAAAATAAATCTCAAGATGAGGAATAGGACAAAAAATACAGGGATTAAACAATTATAAGATCCGGCCTGTACATGTTGAGAGTCATTAACCCTAACCGCCGGGGCTCTTTTGGTTAGGATACACCCTTAATCCTTCAAAATTCTCCAACTGCCCCATGACTAAATTGAATACCGAGGCCCCAGTCGTCCAAAATGATGTTTGTTGAATATGGTCTGTTAAGGGGTGCCCACTGCTTCAATCCTTCAAAATCCTTCTGCAATTCCTCTCATGTTGAGGCAGTGTGACTGGTATCCTTGAGCAGTATGGAGGATTGTGGGCATGAATTTATGCATGGCTGAACGTAACACAAGTTCTAACCCCCAACCTTGAGACAATGCATCCTTCGCCATGCTGCCTCAATCTTCCGAAACCGCCCAAAGGATTTTGAAGGATTGAGGATGGTCAGCGTTGAGACACAAAAGTTAACTGAAGTGGTAATGTAACATTAACTTTTAGATGTAGCAATTTTAGCATGCATCCAGCAGTTTTTTCAAAGAATTTTTCTCTTTCCAGGGCATAGAAATGGAACGTTCTCATTGAAAATCCACAGTCATATGTAGTTGTTGGTTTCCTTAAGATAGGCTATCCCTGTTTGATTTTCTGTAAATATGTGTGTTTTGTGAACAATTATCAATGTCAGTATCAGTTGGGAGTGGTAGAAGTTTATTTAGTCATAAGGTCATTATTCTTGAGTATCCAACGTGTGTTCATAATGCATGTTTGTAGGTAGTGTTTGACAGCAGGTAGTAACAGAAAAGAATATGTTGGTTTTTTTAGGAAAGTGTGCTGTATGGGCATTCTTCACCATACATTCAAATAAGTATAAATCCTGTGATTATATTGCAGCAGTGAACACCACAATTGCAGTCTTTGTCCAAGGTTAGTCACCATACCTGTTCATTTCTTACCATAAATAGTTGCACTCTCTGTCAGTATACAAGAATGTGGAGTTATTCTAGGTGTATGTTCAACAAGTCATCAGGTAAAGAAATGTAGAAAACCACTTTTATGTCATTTCATTTTCACAATTATAAACTCAGACCAAAAGGGTTTTAGGCATTGTCATCATGCGTTACGTCATGGAAATATTTTTCCATATATGTTTAGTATCATTTCAGGAAAATACTATGTCTAAATTGTGTTTGCATAACTAGGAGCAGAGTTCTTTGTACTGAGTATTCATTCCACTTTTGCAAGTTTTGCGCATGTTGTAGACAGAATTGAAATAATTACAATCATTATAGCAGTAAAAAATTTAATCAAGCTGAAAATGGAAGTAGGAAATGAAATAGTTGAGTTGAAATAAAGTGCTTTGAGCGTAACAGCTAGAAAAGTTCAATTGTCTCTTAATGTTTTTCTAAATGCAGGTTGAAATACAAGTTTGTGACTTGGCAGATAAATTATAGGTGCACTTTGTAGTCCTAACTTAACCCAATTCAGAATATTCCTTGGTTACTGGAAGTGCACCATACCTGTTAGCAGACACATAATTTCATGTTGCACTTTGAAGTGCCAGGTAATGGATTCCAAATCCATTACGACCACAAACTCCAACTCGACCAGTGAGCTTCCCGGGGTCGGCTGGCCGCTCTGAGTCAGGTGAAGCAGCGGGTACCGCCGAGTGGTTAAGATGTCTGCATCAGTAAACAGGAGGTCGTGGGTTCTAGTCCCACCCGAGTAAGCTTGTGACTTTTTTCGCAAGCTGTAGGACAAGCACTGAGCACACAGTGTTTATTAATTAACCCTAACCCTCCTCAATCTTCACCTGTTGGAGGACTGAGGAGTGTTAGGGTTAATATATACCTTGGGTAAGGGCAAAACCCGTTATATAAATGGATAGAGCTTGTTTGTTATTCTTCCCAATTCCCATCAAGTTGATGTAGTCCCTTGTCACCACTCAACAGTCTTGCTTCACTCGGCGTGGAGTGCTTTTGAGTGTCACAGGCAGAATGTAAGTTTTAAAATGATGGTGGTCAGCCAAATGACACAAAACACAAATGACAAAGTAACACTGACCAGATTTTTGATGACCATTCAAACAATTTAAAAATCAAGGTTTAATTCCAATGACTTCAAATTAACAAAGGTTCCCAACACATTGAATACAATATTCAAATTAATTAGATTGCATAAATATATAAATTTTGAGGAAAATAATGAACTTTAGTAAACTAAACGTATATTATATTCAAACAACTCTGTGGGAAAAATTTCACCCAGCAACACGGGAAGTAGCTCCAGCAATAACCAAGGACTCTTGCGTAACTTTAAACCACAGCCATGTACTTCAGACAGCATTACACTATTAGTGTATTTACATTTGAAGTAGTTAAAGGGTATCCCTTCATAAATATAACTAGATCCACCCCATACCATGGTTTAGAAGTAAATATCTAGTCAATGTATACACAATTGCTATTTTTCAAAGCTTGAATAACAAAAGGGTTTCTGTTTTGACTCCATATACATGTATGCTTATGAAATGAAATAAAAGTGAAAACAGAAGCAATTAAGGTCAACAGACAAGAAAGCCAGAACTAAACCTGAACTGAAATGACCCAAAAGAAACAATCTATGAGCTGGAGAGACCTTCCTATATTGTTTTTATTTTGATAACAAAACTAGAATCAGACAGGAATTTTGTACAAAGTATTATTAGTTATGAACATACATGCACAAGTTTTCTGTGTTCAACACTACATTCAAGTGCAATGCACAATTAATTTGCAGGACAGGAAATACATGCAGCTGTTGATCTTGGACACATTCCAGCTATTCATATCACTTTTTAGTCAAGGAAACTTCCTTTTTGGTTTTCCTGTGCAAAGAGCAGAAAGGATGTGCTTTTGTAATACTTTATGTTGAACCTGTGCCTAGCAACAAGGATTTAAAATGAACTACTATACTCTCGACATGTAGTGGCTTGAATAATGCACAATGAAAATCTGCAGTTCTCAGAAATATGCCACATGATTTCATTTACATAAGTTAGCTGAATTTCATAAGTGAGAAGAACAAAAAATGTCTGAATCGTTTCTGATAGCTCAATATGTTGAGTGCACGCTCCTTATGAAGAAAATCTTTATCATGATGGGGTATTCATACATTACTTTATCAAATGAGTTTATCTCTGGTGAACAAAGTTAAGCATCAAATTTCCTAATTAAGCTAAGAACCTGACATGTATGCATTAGAATTCATAGCATTGGTTTTACGTTACTGTAACTGATCACCATGCTATATACATGCGGTTTTTTATCAAAGATCTTCTTTTTCTTCCCGGTCAATGTTTTTGTTCCATAGGGATGCACATGAGTAGTCCTTTTGTGTACATCCTCCATTACTAAAGCATTGATCAGGAAGATGGCTGCCATGCATAAACTCTATAAACATCATCAGGCAATCCACTTTTATAGAGGCAGCTGATGACGGATTAACATGTCAATTATTCCTTGAGCCTTCTATGGCAAATTTGAGTTCAAGCCTGCTTTGTTTTACGCACACAAATATAGCATACGAGAGGTTGGTGGAGATCAAACATATGTTGAACTTGAACTCGGCTGCTGCAGCGCACCTGTGTTGCAGAACTTGGCTGCTGCGGCCCACCTGTGTTGCAGAACATATCCCTTGCAGTTCAAGGTGGAATTTTGGAGTCTTGTAAATTATGAGCTTGTGGTGACTTTCAAATTGATCACATGATTTTCAAGAGTTGGTTTCAATGTCTTGCCTAAAAATCTTAGCATTTTTCAAGAGTCTTTTTTTTAATAAATAATACATTTGGAAAGAGGTTACAGAAGCAGAAAAGGTTACTTTTCATTACAGGTTTTTCCCTTACACCGACGTAAAAAATATTAGTTTTGGCAGTGAGTGGTGAGCTCAGTCATACTCGGAGCCGATTGTTATGCTCATCTCATCTCCAATGATCAGCGTCTGGTGAAACCACTTGTTGGTGTCTAGCACGACTGTGGACAAATTGGGAACGTGGAGCAGCGAATTAGTCACAGGCTGAAAGTGAAAGACCTAAAGCCAGGATGCAAGCCTCTGCAGCTTCCGTAGGCTGGGACATGATGAGGCATTTTGGACTGAAAATTGAGCAAGTGTCTGTTTACGTAGTCAGCCTAGAGTGAGATGGAACCATACGGTAAATTGCACATGTGTGACTGGTGTAGATCAAAAATAACATGATACTACAACCAGAAACAAGGTCGCTTGCCACAGGAAATGTACAGCTGTTGAATTCTTCAAATGCAGGCAAGCCTGAAACAGGGATTTCTGGCAGAGAATTTGGTGACATCCTGAAAAGGGCAGATTTTGTTTACAGAGTGGAAGCTGGTTGAAAAATTCTGAAAGTTTAATTTAAAGTGGAATCTTGAAAAAGCACAAGACAAGTTACATGTACTTGGCATCACATGGCACTAAATATGTTGGATTAAGTCAAATATACAGGGGTGAGCTAGGAGGAAACTGAAATATCCACAACACAATCATCAGAGGGTTTGAGGGACCCACAGCAGCATTTGTGTATTTGTGTTTGCCTTAAAGCAACCCTTAAAATACCCATTTCTGTGTCAACTTTTATATGTAAGACCAGGGTTGATAAAAATCACGATTTTTAAAAAATATATTAAAAATCCAGATTTTTGGGATTTAAATCAATCTTTGCATAATTTGTCCAGAAGGGTTTTGGTCCTGAAGTTCAAGACATGAAATACCATGTGGTGACTAAAGGACCCATTAATGACTGCTGCGGTTAAGTTTATCATATGTTGAACAGTTTCTTTCTAAGCAAGCGCAAAAGTTTGCTAACTCCAGTTACATGTACTTCTACGCTGAAATACACACAAACTCTTGGTATGAATAAACTGTTTAAGCAAATTTCAATGAAAAAACAAAATACTTCAAGATCAGCGTCTTTACTTCTTCAATGCGGACCATTCACAAAAGTGTGCCTCTGAGAGTTTGCAACGCGTTGGCCAATCATGAAGTGCAAAATCTGCCGACCCAATGCGGGTTTGAAAAGGGTCGATAGATATCGCACGCTGTGATTGGCCAATGTGTTGCAAACTGTGAATTGCCCGTATTGGGATAAAATTCTTGTACTTGCTAACACAACATGCCTTATGAATGTAACATTTCAAAAGACTTTATTGAATAAGTACATATCTTTGGTGTTCCAATTTTTGTGATATTTAGAAATATTGCTGTCCTTAATATTTGGCAATACTGCTTTATCAAAATGCGTGATGGAATGGCTATAGAATTCTATATACATGTAATTAAGCAGTCATACAAAATGTAGAGTGGTGAACAGTACATGTACATGCATGCCTGTACATGTACCTGCACATGCAAACCTGTGCATGTCCATGTACCTGCACATGCAAACCTGTACATGTCCAATGCAAACCTGTACA